CCACCTCTCAGAGGGCTGTTGCAAGGAACAAACAAGGCAATAGATATAAACCCAGTGCCTGCCCAATAGAAAGATCTTAAGGTACATTTCCTTGAGCTCAGTAGGAAATTTCGAGCCAAACGGAGTCCTATGGAAAAAGCGAATGGCTTCTGTTCTGGTTCACGTGCCATCAGTACAGTGATGGGGTGGCTAGCCTCTAACCCAAACCCACTTCTCTCTCAGAGCAAGAGACGGTGCAGGCTGCACTCAATCCATGGCCTTAGTTTGAGATTCTCAGAACAAGGCCTGCTTAGCCACAAAGGTGATTTTTATCTCAATGACAAAACTGTAAGACGTTCCTGCTGCTGGGGCTAGGCTCTCACAGCTTTCATTTCCTGTCCTGAATTAATCTTTCACCCCAAGACACACCATAAAACAGAATGATGCTGACTCAACAGTGTTGTGACTAAATCCAGGTCAAACAGCCCACACATGAGAAGGACCCTCTACCTCTCCAGGGCATTGCACCCAGGTTTTATCAGTCCTTGACAACCAGTGAGGCGGCAGCAGTGGGGCTCTACTAGCACCTTAGGCAGTGAAGCTCAGGGTCAAAGAGAGAAGTAGAAAGTGTGCTGGCTGAGTCTGGACAAGGACACAGCATGGCTTTAGGGAGAGAGCCGCTTCGTATGATGTTTATGACCCACAGCGTTGGGGAATCCCAGTTCTACCACTAGCTTGCTTTATGGATCTGGTTAATTCATGTTTCTGGCCTCAGTTTCTTTACCCATAAAATAGAAGGATTAGATCTGTAAATTCTTCCCAGCTTTAATGCTCTAAGATCATAAAGCTTAGAGATAAATCCACCTTCCCCAGCTCTCCCCCTTCTTGTGTTGGTTGTCTGTCTGCGATGTCTCTTAGCTGCCACTGAGAAGCCTTCTACTAACACTCTGAGCTTTACTGCTCCAGTGTGTCTGGTCACTGCTGACCACAGAGCCTGGCTGGAGACGAGGATAAACCTGGGGACATATTCTTAAGAATATATCTACTACCTGTGGGCAAACAGCTCTATGGAGTCCAGGAACCTTACGCCCCCAAGAGCTTGGATGTCCCCAAGGTCCCTCCCTAATCATCTGGGTCGGCTTCTTTCACCCAGGGATTCCCCCCTCCCCTCCTCTACCAGCCTATACTCCCTAGGTCCCTAGGGCTCTTTCAAACCATTAGACTTTCCCCATCCTGCTTGGCAGGAGACTTGGGCAGCAACAGGCAAGTGTTACCTACTCAGGCATATCGCAGGGTGGGGCAGGGGAAGGCGGCAAAGCTACAAAGGCCAGGAGGAAAGTGCCTACAGAGGCAAGCTCCAGCCACATAGGGAAGTGGCCTGGGGGAAGGCCACAGCGCTCATGCGGGAGCCTGGCAAAGCACCGGGAACCACAGAGGTCTGGGAGGCTCCTTCAAGATGCTGCCCAACCCTGTACGCCTCCCTTATTTCCTTAATAAGATACCTGGGGACCAGAAAAGTTGATTTCTTATTTTCCTACAAAGAAATCTGGGGCAGGCCTCGCAGCTAAGCTGTGAACAACCAGCACTAGAATGTCGTCCTTGTCTGAGACCACTCTTTTCATCCACTCTGTTGATGGCAAGATCTAGTTAGGTCACTGGATCCCCTGCAAACTCTAGGAAAAATGACCCAAGTGTCACTAAGGGAAAGAGCAGGCCCCACAGATATTTTGATAACTGACCCCCAACCCCTGTATTTCTTCCCAACCCAACACAATCTGCTGCTTCCTCCAGCCAATCTTGGGAAGTTCAGAAGTCAGTAAGAAGGGAAAGGTGAACCTTCCTGTCCCTATAGAATGCTAAATATCTAAGATAACCCACAGTGATCCCTCTTTCTTGCCCTAGAGGAGGTTGGTGAGGAAGAGGAGCAGCTCGAGTTAACCTGCTGGTAGTCTGACCTGATTAGGCTGAGAGTACTCCTCGTGGGCAGTTGGATGGGCTATTTGAAGGTTTATGACAACAAATAATAGGATCTGCTCCTGCCAGGACCTTTCAAAGATCGATGTTGGACAGATCAACTTGGCATCAGGAGGAGGAAGCTCTGAGTGAGAGATTCAAGGAATTATTTATTCAGTTTGTGTGACCCAGTTCCCGGAGGTGAGGCCGGGTAAGAAGGGAACTCAGCAGTTCCTTATCGTGGTGAGAAATTCAAGTACTTCACAGAGTAGTGTTTCCTTTGCTGCCAAAGAGGATCCATTTACAGTTAAGAGTCCCTCCCCCTTCTCCCCCAGAAAAAAGAGCCAAAGTTCACTCATTCAACAAATATTTATCCAGTTCTTTTGATGTCCTAGGCCTTCTGGGAATTTGCATATGGTTGGAGCTTAGTAAAGTAGAAAGATCATGGAATTCATAAACACGAGGCTTGGGCTGTATCCCCAGTTCAGCCCTTGGGCAGGGTAAAAACTTCTCATCTGTAAAATGGGAGTAAATCCTCCTGTTTTCATTATGATGATGAAATAATCTTTATAAAATGTAAAGTGCAATGTAAACCTAATATGTAAACAATAATGATATAACCCTGCACACTTCCCCAGCTCTAGAGAAGCTTATTACCTGGTCATATTTTGGGAACTAATCCCAGGTACATTTCTGGCAAACATCATATTCCCTGTAATTTGGGCCAAATGTATATTTTAACCTTCCAGGGGAGATGGAGCCTGTGATCAATCCCAATCTCCCAGTCTGTAGGTCCAAGAAGTTATAAGAAGGAGCAGAATAAAAAATGGAAAAAGTAACCAAGACCTACCTATCCTGTATCAAACCTGGACTGAGTGAGAGACCCAGTAAAGCCTAAAGATTGAGAGGAGGAAAAAATGACCAGCTGGAAGTGTGGTCAATCAGAAACAAAACAAAAATTCATTGGAGCGTCATAGCAGTGAGCAAGCCAGAAATGCACACACTTCCCTCCCCATACACATTTCAGACAATGGCGGAATTCACTGTCTGTCACCCAACCCTCCTCTGTGGACTCACTCTACATTCTGTGTTTCTCCAGGAAAGAGGGATTCTCAGGCCACAGCAGAGTGGCTGATCAGGACCTCTTTGCCCAGACACTGCAAATCAGAATGAGTGCACTAGCTTCCTCTTGGTCCAGTCAACCCCTTCTCATTCTGCTGGTCAGGATCTCAGAATGGGCTCTTCAGCCCAGAGGTCCTCGGTGAGTACCAGGCCAGCCTCTAAGTGCCCAGACATGCCCACCTGCTGCCCCTCCTCTGGGCCTGCACCCCTGTTCCAGCCTTGGGCTGGGCCCTGATGCTCTCCTCCCTCCCTCTCCCTCCTTCCTCCCTCCACCAGGCCATCCTGGCTCCTGCTCCGGGAAGCTCCAGAGGCAGAGCCAGTTTTTATTTATCTTTATGTTCCCTCTAACTCAGGGCATTCTGGAAGTTCCTCACCCTCCTATAAATGCAGAATGATGGCATTTATGAATGCCGGTGAATGCAGAGAGGAGCGGGGTGCGGGGAATGGAAGAATGCTAGACTGAAAGTCCAGTGCCCACATCCTGATTCTCCATTTGGCACCAGTTAGTTAGGCAACCTTGGGAAAGTATCTTTAGGCCAGGCCTCAGTTTCCCTATCTGGTAACAAGGGGTTTGTGCTAAATAATCTCTCAGGCTCTAATTATAAAATTTGGTATTTACAGGAACCGGACTGGCCCAGGACACATTTGTCCTGGTTCTTACTAGCTATAGCCTGGTGCCAGTTAGCTGACTGCTCAGCCCTCAATCTCCATGTTTGCAGAGTAAGTGAGGATGATATGACCACTCCTCCCAGGGAGCAAGCCTCCCATGAGACACTGTGACAGAGCATCATGACCCACAAACCCTGAAGAAACCTCAGGGTTTGAACTCCTTAGGTCAATGAACAGCTGCGGAGCCCCTGCCACATGCCCAGAATTGTGCCTCTTGAGATGGTGCTCAAACAGGAAGGTTGGAGGCCAGGTCCTCACCCTCAAGGCTGGTGGGTGAGACGGACGAGTGAACAGACCAAAACTCAGCCAGTGACGTATCTGAGGTCTGAACAAAGTGCAATGGGTAGAGGAGGGGGAGGCACCAGCTTTGCCTGGGGATGTGGGGGAAGCTTCTTAAGGGAACAGCATGTCCCAGATGTGGAAATCTGTTCCAGGAGTTGTGGGACTGGAGCCAGGCCAGAGAGCAGAGGCAGAACACAAGGCTGAGGTCTGACAAGAGCAGGCACTGAAGGTCAACAGGAGAGCGGTAGTCAGATGCGTCCTGGAAGAAGGTCTGATGGCATTGCAGAGGACAGAGCTGGGGACACAGAGGGGGGCCAGGAGAGCAGTGAGAAGGCTCCTACAATAGTTTGTGAGGGTGACTATGTCAAAACAGGTCATGCTGATTTCTGCCTACCCCAAGCCTTCCAGACCCTACGACTTCACGGAGCTGCTGATCTACAGAAAGACGGAAACTGGTCTGTTCTCTGCAGAATGGGACCCGAGCAGAAGAAGATGCTGCAATCACATTTCCAAGTCTTGGATGAATTGTCTCCAGTGCTTAGAAGTCACTGCCTGCAGAGCTGCCTAGCCAGATTCCTGCCTTGACACAAATCTGGGCTAGCAAGAGACTGAAACATCATCAGAGCTGGACTGCTGACAGGACAGCCGAGCTGCTGGTCTTACCAAGGGAAAGAAGCTGCAGAGATTCCACCCATCAAAGGCCACTGAGTTAAGCAGGACTTTCATGTCCCCAAACAAATGTCCATCTCAATCCCTGCTTCCCTCCCTCCCTGCTCTGAGAGCATGGCAGGCCTGGGCAACATTGGAAGTTGTAGGCAAAGACAAAGGGCTGAGGGGGGAAATGCAGGCTTTCCCCAACAATTGTTTCTTCAAAGAAGGTCACATTCACTTGGGCTTAAAGAAAGAGTAAAAATGCCCCTACACCTTCCAAGCCTGAAGCCAGCCCCCCCAAGATCAATTCAGTGGCATAAAAGAGATTCATCACTGTGACTTACCTGATTCTTAGACACTACAGTGACAGAAGTCATCTCCTTCTAGGACGAACCATGCACGGGTTGCCATGTTCCTTTAAACAAGAGCCCAACAATGAATGTCAGTTACGTTATCTTACATTACAGCTTCATATCTCCCTGCCAAGAGGCCCCACGTGTTTGTGCCCTTTGCCCCATAGTAACACTACCTAACAAGAGGAAATGGACGGAGAAATTCTGTGTGCTCCACATTTTGCATGAGAAGAAAGGAATTGCACGATGAAGCCCTACTGCCTGCGCCTGCCTGGGCACCCTCAGGGCTCCTCACACTGCTCTGCAAAATGCAGAGAAAGTAAGACAGATCCAAAAACTTATGCTTTACTAGTTGCTTTAGTAGAAACAGAAAATGCCGGAATTTCTAAGCTTAGGATATGATGAAAGTAAATCAAGCTGGTGCAAAAACCAGGTAACAAGTCACCAATGTGAAACGTGATATATTTCTTAAGCTGGAAAAGTCCAGAAGACTAAATAAACCAGGCAGCTAAAAAGCAGACAACCGGATCATGGCTGAGTTTCCTAAATGAATTAATATTTTGGCTTCCAGTGACCACCCAAATAATTTGTTTACTACTGCTCTTGTAGAAAATGCCTCTATACCTTTTGAAAAACAGCCTAAAGTGTCAGAACTACTAAGGATTTACTTTCACAGTTCCAATTTTTAAGGTGTAGCCTCAAGGGGGCAAAAATTAACAGATGGGAAATTTGAGATCTACGAGGGGCAATACCTATTCTTCGTGGTTGTATGCTCACTTTGCTCAGCGGGGCAGTGGGTCTTCTCGTCTACCATAAACACATGTATTCTCTCTAGTACACAAAGAGCTGCATTTAGAGCCAGTGAATTGGGACTCATTGTTCAAAATTCTCGGGAGAGAAACTACTATTTTCTGAGCACTGGCCACGCATGGAACAAGCACTGTTAGAGAGCAGAAAGGCTTTGTCTTAGTGACCCCACACTGACAGAACAGAGACTTGAGCGTAGATGGCACTTGCCAGGGCCCCATGGCATGGCAGGATTTAGGTCCAAGCCTGGCTGACCCAGCGCTCATGGGCTTTCCCACCATGCTGAGGTGAGAGGTGCCCTGGCATAGTTGTGATGGGCCCACACACCCTGAGCAGCCTGGCAAGCTCCGAGGGCAGCCACCTGGCAGAGGCTGCAATTACCCCTGTCATCATCATCATTACCACGCCCCACCTCTCCAGCCCCTGACAGTTGACAAACAGGCTGGCCCACATCACCCACATTCTATCAGCCTGACTTTAGGCTCAGAGAGGCTGGAGGTTCCCACTTATCTGCCCCCTGCTTCTCAAGGGAAGCTCCTGGGTACAGTGTTTATATATGTATGTGCGGTGGGGGGTGTGGAGGGAAGCTGAACATCCTGGTGCAGAATTCCACCATTAGTCTAAACAGGTTTGAGAACCAAGGACTTTCCCATGCTTCCCAGACCTGAGGAACAGAATCCCCTACACAGCTTGGGATGTGCCCAAGGCCAACAGCAGGAAACTGGGGGCTCTCTGATGTCCTGCTTCAGTCATCTGCATGGTACGATGCAGGTGGGCATTCTGGACCAGTCCACAAGGGCTGCCCACTGGTCAGATTCCCACACAGGTCTGGGCACACAGTGATCCAGCCACTGTCCAACCAGCTTGGACCCTGTCTGAACAATAGCCAAACAGGCTTTGAGCTCCCCTTAACTCTGCTATACCAGAAGGTCCTAGGGCTCAGCACCTCCCCTCTTCTGTGTGGCTTCAGGTTTCTCATCTCTAGAATAAGAAGCTTGGCCTAAGTGGTGATTTCCTCACTAAGGACCCCATCTAGCTGTCCCCTCCAAGGGCCCTGACTTTTAGATGCACCTATGAAGTTAATCAGTTGTTAAAAGGAAGACGAGGGATTAGCTGGTGTGTAGGCACTGCGATAAGGGGTTAGCAGAGCTGTCTCAGAGAATCCTCCCAGTACCCCCATGAGGCAGGTAGTGCAGCCCCACCACAGAGGGTGAAACTGAGGCAGGGCATAGCTAAGGGCCTCACCTGGGGACTCGTCAGCACTGACCACAGCCACCCAGACTCAGGGTCGAGCTGGTCTAGGTCCCTGCCCATGTTTGCTCCCTGACACCACGTTTCCCTTTTTAATCAATCAGAATGAGAAAACAATGTCTCCTCATGGACTTGCCACCATGTCAGTCCTAAGCAAAGATGTATGAAGTCTCCAGGCACCTGTGGACCTGACTTGGGTGGTGCAAGACATGTTCTCTGTGAGCTAGAGTGGCCTCATGGGTCCCAAGGGACATGAGAGGAACTCAGGGGACCTTCCTCTCTACTGTTCTCTGAGCCTAGCTCCATAGGATCAGGGTCTTCAGTGAGGGACCCCAAGCACTTGGGACAGGGCATGGCACCCCCTAGGCACTCCAGCAATATTTGTTGAATGGAGGGGTGAAGAAATCCAGAGCTTAGGGGCACTGAAGGTTTCTTCAGGAGCCCTTTGGTGTGAGTTAGTGAGAGACACATGCAGACCAGCTCAGACCCACAAGGCTGGCCCCTCAGCAGCACGAGCCAAGCAGGGGTTGCCACACCCAAGTGCCTGCACAAAGGATGAAGGCTCAGATGCTGACCCAGATCTGCTCATCATCCCAATTGCCAGGCAAGCATCTGATAGAGCAAGAAAAGCCTCTGAACTGCAACGGCTGCCCAGCAAAGTGGGCACAAGCTCAAGCCCTAGAATCAAGCAAACCTGGATTCCTACTGCAGCTCTGTCACTTTAGTTAGGTGGCCCTGTGCAAGTCACATTATCTTTGTGAGCCTCAGTTTCTTATCTAAAAATGGGAATAATGTTAGTACCTACTCCCTGGGGCTCTTCTGAAGATGAAATGAGATAATGCTGTAAAAGACGAAGCCCAGTGTGTAGTTCAAAGAGCTTGGAGTTGACATCTGTTATTACTGTCGGCATTAGAGTGGGTGGTTAAGAGCACATCTGGAGTCCTCTGCTTGGGTTCAATCCCAACTGTCCTCTTGGCTAGTTAAGTGACCTTGCTTAACCTCTCTGTGCCTGAGCTTCTTGGCATGTAAGATGGGATTGAGTGTGAAGATGAAATGAGTTATGTAGGCAAAGGCCTTAGAATAATGTCTGGCACAAAAGCACTCTATAAAAGTGGGTTAGTATTTTTCTTAATTATTAGTATTACTAGCATCCTTTTCTTTTTGTTCTGATACAAAATACACCCAATCCTCCACTCTGTAGCCACAAAAGTGGGCATAGAACTTGATAGGCTCATCAGGGTATCTTTCCTCCTTGGCCACATTCTTGGGTACGAAGGGTATCCATGTGCTCCAAGTTGGGCCAAGTTCCAATCTGGATAATCTGGAGAAGGCCTGGTCCTCTTGGGATGGATGGAGGGCTATGTGGAGTCAGCTGGGAGTTGCCTGCAGCCATAGCCCACCAAGTAGTGGATGATGGTCTGGGGATGCTAGAGGTCATCTATTCTTTTCTTGGAGCTGAATTCTGCAGTGCCTCTTTTGAGACTTGAGCCTCCCCTAGAACCTTCCATGGTATCCCATTTTGGGTTAAGGCCATTCAAGTTGGGGTCCTATCACTTGAAACCAAAAGAGGTCCAAGTAACAACAGTATTCAACAATTGGCTGCTTTAGCATCTTACTACGCAGATGTACAGTGACTGTGAAGGGGCATGTGGGGGGGACTTGGTGAAGGGAGGAGCCTAGTAAACATAATATTCTTCATGTAATTGTAGACTAATGATACCAAAATAAAAACAAAACAAAACAAAACAAAAAACAATTGGGTGCTTTATAATCACAAAATCCCACCCAGGAAGAAAAGCCAGCTGCATGCTCTTAGTGAGACCCAGGCAGCCAGGGAAAAGTAAACATGTGCAGCAAGGTATGTCTACAAACTCAAAGGAGAGGAGGCTGCTGCAAGCCCCTGGACCAATGCCCTTCCTGGGAGAGGGACATGCTGGAACCACAAAAGTGAACAGCCCAGTCCCATGGTCCCTGGCTGGGAACCCAGCCTCTGATGTGGGTGCCCCCTGCCATGAACATTAGGAAAGGGAAGAAGAGAAAGAAGGAGACTGGAGCCAATTTGCACTGACTTCACAGAGGTGCAGAAAAAAACACAGGCAGCTACTTGAAATAATTATTTGTGGAAGAGGAAGGAGGGTGGGTCAGAAAAGAGAAATGACCTGTCTGAGCCCTTAAAATTATGTCAGGCTCTTTCACTGGTACAATCTCATCTAACCTTCAGCACAGCCCTAGGAGCTGGTTGCTCACCCAACCCATTTTCCAGTTGAGGAATCTGAGGCTCAGAGAGCACAAGACCTAATTTTCCACGGTCATGCTGTGACGGCCTGATGCCTCGTCCACCTTTTGTGCTGCCTCCTCCGCACACTCTGACCCCTGAGCCTGGGGCCTCATCCTCACACAGGCACTTCTGATGCCACACACCTGTGCTCAGACCCACCCAAGGGAGATGGAAATGTGCCACTGCCCCCTCATCTACAACTGGCCCTCCACCCCCACCCAGACACAGCCACCCAGAGGAAGGGGCTGCCTTCAGGTGTTGACAGGTTAGAAGGCATCTTGAATACCCACAGTGTGTCCTTGAGCAAGTGTCCTTCTCTGGACATTAGTTATTTTAATTTCTAAGAGCTTAAATGTTTATGAGACAACATGTATTTGTTGGTTTTGACCAGAATATGTGTATCAGAATCCCATGGAGAGATTTTTAGGTTTTGTGTTTTGTTTTTTTTTCTTTTTTTGTTACCTTTCCCAAGATCTTCTGCCTAACATACAACTCCAGTGCCTGAAACATAGCACTGCGCTAAGCAATGTCTCATTTTCTCACCACCTTCTAGGCCTGCACCCAAAAATGGTCTATTTCTGTATATTCAGGCCTTAGAGCATCCTCTCAATTCCCTCCAGGAAAAGCAGCTCCACCTTCAGATGTGTTTTAAAGAATTTTAGAGCAACAGAAACAAAAATCAAAATTGCACCCTGGCAGCAAAAACATAGAACCCAAACACACTGA